AAATTTTATATAGCCGGTAAATTTTATAAGATTCCGGACTCTTGGCCGGTAAAATTGGATTTCTATTTTAAGCACTGGTTTGCGCCAATATTATATTACCTATGGAAAAATGTTTTTGTAACAACCTGTTACAATTAGATTTATCCATTTTTTAATCTTATGATTTCCATTCATTTTTATTTTTCCCCCCTTTCTATTACACCTTGTCGATCCTATTATAAAATTCTGCGATCGGCAAGATTTTTTTTTTTTTTTTTTTTTTTTGAAATATGACAAATACTAGTAGAACGAATTCGAGATATAACTTAATAGATTTTGCAAATTTTTTTTTAGAACATTTAATTTATACTAAAGGATATTAATATCCTCCCTTATATATTTATAAACTATGTCCGATATAAAAAAACGTCTTGTATTCTCAATTCTGCAGTTTTTGCAACAGTCAATTAAGGACGGGACTATTCAAGAAGAGGACACGGAAGGGGTTGAAGTAGCAGGTACGACTTCGCTTTGAGTGGTTGCAATTCTTGCATTAATCCATAAATTTTCTAACTTTATTTTTTATTATAAAGTACAATGCATTGGTGAGGCTTTTGGCGTGAATATCGAAGATTCTGAACAAAGATCTGCATACGCGACAAAAGCGCCTTTATTATCGATTTTTGAAGTTGCAGTCAAAGCTCAAGAGAGGATAAAGGTTCGAATTTTTAAATATTCTATAGTTGACTCTTAAATTTACAACTTTACTTGAAATTATTTATGAATTGAATATTACAGCCATCAACAAGATCAGTACCTTCTCAGCCTGGTATGACTTGAACTATATATTTCTAAACCCATTTTTCTTTGAAAAATTCTAATAATAAACCTTCTCGTTATTAAATTATAGCTGTAGCAGAAACTAAAGTAATTATAAGTCATTGACTTTTTTCTTCAATCGATTATCTGTTAATCTGAATGTCGGTTGATTAAAATTTATTTCCAAATATCATATTAATTTTCAGGTGAAGCTTACCGAGGAACAAAAGAAAAAAGCGGAAGAATTAAAATCGGAGGGTATGTTGATATTTGGAAATGTTTATTTCTTTCATACTAAAGAAATAATGATCGATTTTTAGGTAATCGCAAAGTTTCTGAAAAAGATTTCGAAGCAGCAGTAAAACTATATAGTGAAGCCATTGAAATTAATGGAAATAACGCTGTATATTATTCAAATAGGTACTTTGTTGGATTATAATTAATGTTTTTAAATTATTAGAAATTTGTATTTTTTTATTTTTATCTAATTGCACGATATAACTAAAATTGCGTGTAGAGCCGCAGCATACAGTCAATTAGGTCAACATCATAAGGCAATCGAAGATGCCATAAAGTCATCACAGATAAATCCTTCTTATAGCAAAGCGTACGGCAGGCTTGGGTAAGTGAATAAAATCGATTTTTTTTTTCATTTCCTTTGAGATAACGTATCTAACATTTATTGTTTAAAAGGCATGCTTATTTCTCTGTCGAGCAATATAAAGATGCGGTCGAAGCATATGAAAAAGGACTTTCACTTGATCCTAATAATCCTACAATGAAATCAGCTCTTGCTACCGCTGAACAAAAAGCAAGTGAACTCAGAACTGATCAAGGGCCATCACGGGGTGCCTCACACGATAGAAACACTCGAGGAAGTGGTGCTGGTGCGGGTGGTGGTTTAGGTGGACTTGGAGGTCTCGCCGGGCTTGCTAATCTCGCCGGTGCCGCCGGCGGTGGTGTTGATGGTGGTGGCGGTGGCTTTGATCTTGCATCTTTAATGAATAATCCAGCAATGATGAATATGGCTCGTCAAATGATGCAGTCTGGAGCACTCAGTGATATAATGAATAATCCAAACGTTGCCGAAATGTAATTAATTATTCTTAAATAATTGTATGATTTGTAAGATAATTAATAATGGTGCTTATTTTATATCTAGGGCGCAAAATATAATGCGAGGAGGAAACCCACCGAACATGGACGAGATGATGAATGATCCTAATCTAGCGAATTTGTATGTATTTCATTTCTGTTATGATTTTTAAATGTTTCTATAATAATATTAAATTTTTTTTTTGCGTCAAAAATAGAGCACGTCAGTTTTCTGCTAATCAAGGTGATGGCGGTGGTGGTGGTAATCCTGACAATAATGAAACTAATGGAGGAACAAAATAGAAAAGACCTTAAAGACCTTTTTGTATCTATAAGGGGGGTTTTTTTCCAATGCCGATCATATGAAATATATATATAAATATTTTAATTCTCGACATTTCTTTTCTTTTAATTCACTTTTTTATATTACATTTTACATTCATTTCCATTTTTTAATACAGAATTATAAAAACAAAAGCGACATCTTTATAGACTACCTTAATGATGGTAATTTGGTAACATTTGATATCGATATTGGGGTTGCAAATGTTAAAGTAATTTCTATATATTTATTCTTTTTATGGTCATGCTTATTCTTGAGCACCTACATATGGGACTCTTCTTTGCAAAGCAATCATGTAATGAACTTCTTGTGATTGCTGAAGTTGTCAGTATTTTTTTGGAGGCTTTGCTGTATGATTTAATCTTTACATAATTATTTTGATTTTATATTCGCATGCATGCATGTACATGCATAAACTTTTTAAATCAAAAATTTTTTTATTTATATTTAAATAAAATTTTCAACAGCAAATCAGCTATTTTTTAAAATTTTCTAATAAATAACATGTAATCATTAAAATAAATACAAAATTTAAATATAACGCAATTGACTAGAGGTGAAATGGGGAGGAGTCCATTGAAGGCAACTTTCATCAATTCTTCTATTCTTATGCTTCTCTTTAGTTTTATGATAAGAAGCGATAACACCATCACTTAAACAAATAATCTGTTGACCTTTATAAGGTTTAATCGCACATAGAGATTGAAGTGTTTGAAGTATATCAGTAGTAGCAATACTGGTCCTAGCAGAAATATCTTCAATTGTAATGTCTTCGTTATTTTCTTTTGTTTCCAATAATAGTTCAACGATAACTTCAGTCCAATAACTTCTATATGATAATAAACCAAGATCGGAAAGAGGCTTCTCAGGAGATCCAACCTTTCCCTCTTTCTTAGATAGTTCATAAGAAAAAGCTATTAATAACCTTCCAAAACCTTTTCTTTGATGTTGTGGTAAAGTAAGTATACAAGCAAGATTATATCCTTCAGTACTTTCTTTTTCTTTTGAAAAGTAACCAATCATATGACATCCAAATTCATCTTGTTGACACATGATATAAAATAAAAATGGGTCAACGTCATAATAAAGTGTTTTATGATCAAGAAATAATTTTGACAATAAACAAAGGTTTCTACAATAATTTTTTTGTTTATTACCATCAATTTCAAAAAATGAAATATCATCACATCTATAAATCTCATTTCCTGGTGGATGTCTAACTGTACATTTTTGTAAATGTCTCCTCAATTGTTTTTCACTAATGTAATGAAATAAACAAAATTCACATATGTATACAACTGATGCATCACTATACTCTTGTGGATAAGGTGAAAAATACCACGTATCAACATCATACTCCCCAAAATGAATCCTTTCTAAATTCTTTACCCTAGAAATTTCTGAATGTGATTGTGTCATGGATCCTGATGTACGAAGCCTTTCAATTTCTTGTTCTTTAGAAAATGTGGCCGCTAAAGGTCCCAAAGGGGTTCCATTACCTGGAGTACTACCATCTTCATAATCATCCGTAATTTCTGCTAAAGGTGTTGACGGTGTTGTTGCTCGAGCATTGGGTGTTGGAGTTTCTTCTAATGCCGAAATTTTCCTTTTTTGTCCAACTGAAGATCCTACCCCACCACTTCGACCAGTGATTTCTCTAAGTGGTGAACCAACTCTTGATGGTGTATCTGAATCTCTATATTGATTACCACCTTTACCATTCCTTTTTTTAGTCGGTCTTTCAATTTCTCTTGATAAATCAATTCTTTCAAGACCAACCCATTCATCCAATCTCTTATTAAACTCGACAAAGTGTACATAGTATTCCGATTTATCATTATGTGATCGAATTGATAAAACTTCTGCTTTACGAAATTCTTGTGTGTCAATCTTTTCTTTTTTTAATTCTACATAAACTTTACAACCAACATCTAAATGTAAAGGTGTAGTACCAGTTGTGCTCGAGTGATGATTATGTATAGGTGTTCCAGGTCTTGGAGAGGGTGAAGCTGAAAATCTTTGAGTCATTTTTAATTTGTTAATAAATAGTAGAATTACAATCGTTAAAAATACAAAATACAATTATTTCGAATTTCTTTCCAACTAAGCCATTAATTAATAATAATTCTTCGTCATACAACCGTGTAAGATAAAAAAAAATCTTTCAATCATATGACACGCCTAATGTCTGACCATGATGCGTTGGCGTCTAATGTCATGACGTCCCGTACGAACAAGGTCAATAAAATGTAAGTGATATATTTTTTTTTTGGTTTTATTTTTTGGATTCGACATTACATGAAGAGAATGCTACATAATATTTTACGCAATACTTTAAAGATCATCGCAAAGATAATTATTTATTATGATGAAAGTATTATTTACAAATTAGTGCAAAAGATTAATACTTTTTTTAAAAAAAAAAAAAATTTTTAATTGTGCAGAAATTTTTTTTTCCGTAATATGAAATTGGTTTTTTCACTCAACGGGTTCCAATTTGGGAGACTTTGGTCGCACTTCTTCGGGTAATTCAGGACTGTTGGCTTCGTTGGACTTACGTTTTACTCCAGAAACCGTTGGGGAATCTTCAGATGGGGAATGTTCTGTAATTCGACCGTTTTTTCGATTTTTAAATCGGCGTCCTCTTTTACCTCGGGCGTTCTTGGTGGTGGTTTTGGTGGTCGTGGTGGCATTGTCTTTTTTCTTTTCTGGAGGAATGCCATATTCAGCTTTGAGTGCATTACCTTGTTTGATTCTTTCGAGTTTATCACTCTTTTTTTTCCGATAATATTCTTTTTCTTCGTCATCTAGTATTTTTAAAAATTTTTTATTAGAATTCATTGAAGATCAACCATATATTAAAGATATTGCTAACCTTTGAGAACCCTGAGTTTGGGTTGGACATTATCAAATCTCAAGTTTTCAAATGAAGGAGATTCGATAACTTTATGGGCAATAGGTTGAACAAATTGGATAACCCCGGATAAAGTTTGTGGGTCGTATTGTACAAATTTAACTTCACCAAAATCATTATGCATTTGTGTCTAAATGATTATATAATGATATCATTACATTTATCGTTATTTAATAAAAATCATGATACGGTCAATTACTCGATTTGTACATACCCGAATGGTCGAGTAAGTTGAATTTGGACCTGCACCTTCGAAATGTAGCAAACAACCGGAGGGCGATTTTTTATAAGGACGTTTCTCTTTCTTGACTGTAGGTTTCTGTAATCGCATGGTGTTTGGATCAAGGCCCTTCTCGATGCATTTCATTTCACAGTAATCAAACCTATTTATTAAAGATATTAAGGTTAACGTAAAATTATATTACTAGAATACATCCATATTGGAAAGTAGCTTACTTCATCATCATATTAAGCTTTGCGTCCTTATATGTTAAATCCATCTCCGACACTCTCTTTGCTTCTTCATGTGAAACGAATTCGACAAAAAAAGAATCCTAGGATAAAAAAATTTAGGAAAGTCATACAAATAAGATTGTATTTCACAAAATAAAAAAAAATAAATAAATAAAATAAATGTTACCTTGTAAGTGCCATCATCTTTTTTTCTCGCAAAAGATTTTTCAACTTTACTAAATTGTGAAAAGAAGGATGCAACTTCTTTCTCATAGTTAGAATCGATGTCTTCTTTATTAAACCCTTTCTATAAAATAAAAACAAATGAATGTTAAATAGATGCGAGCATGTTGTATATCAAGAAAGTTTCATAAAAACTTACTACGTAAATTGATCTCCAAATTGTAGTTTCTTTGATATGTTGGGGGATGTCAATCATGACGGGAGTCTTTCGTCTGACGTGCTCCCCTTTCTCATCAACCTCAAGCAGATTTGGTGATCCTCTTAACGTCTCAACGATCAAGTTATAATCTTTGTAGACCTGCATTTTTTTGAACTTACAGATCATTTTCAATGGAATCCCTGTTTCAAAAAAGGAGAATGATTTTGTTGCAAAGAAAGAAAAATAAATAACGATAATATCATTCATAATTGTCGAAAGAATAATAAAATAACTTACATCCTTCGGGGTTCTTTGATCTTACTTCATTTAAAAATCTATCCTTTGGTAAATTCATATCACTAAAATAGTATTCTACTTGTCTCAATATTTTTTTCTTCTCTTCCTCAATCTGATCTGGAGTACGTTCTATCATTTCGTTAAATAAACAAAAATATAATAAAAATTAGATAGCATTTATGATGGATTTTATATATCACAAAAAACATATGATGCAACTTTGTACGCGTTGTTATGCGATATGAAAAAATTACCTAATTTTATTTCTGGGTCAATAGCTTCCTTTTCAACCTTGATGACTAGTTATTAACGAAGCATTGAAACGCTCATTAGTAAGAATATTAATATGAGGTATGGTTTATACTAGTATTACCTGTGTCAGGTACAGAACTAGATGGTTCTGCAGGAGTTATATCATTTTCGATTTTTATGGCATCTAAAGTAACGGATAAAACGAGAAAGAACCGATAAGAAAACGTTTCATGTATTATTTTAATAATATCTACTGCAAATATAGTTTATTTTATCAACCTGATAACGCTAAGGAAGCTGTTTTCTCTGTTGGAGTATTAGAGATTTGAGTTTGTTCAGAGATTTGTTCTTGTGAAGAAGTTGAAGAAGTCATGGTTATTTTTTTTTTTTTTTTCAAAAATATTTTTTTTTTTCGTGAATGAAGGAAAATTTTTTAGATCTATTTATATATCTGCAAATTACTTCGCCAAATGAACATAATGAACTCGTGTAAAATTTACCATGTGACCTTGCTTATGCGTTGATAATCTCCGATTTACCAAAAAAAAATTTATCGGTTCATAAAATGAGAAACTTGACCAAATTTCGTTCAACCTTAATTAAAAAATTTAAAAAACGAAATATTTCATTTTCAACTAGTTTTCTTTTAAACCGTTCCCAATTTATTTATAACTTTTGTTACAGTTCTTCTTCATCAACATATTATGATTTAACTCACCTTCAAACTTTTGACATAATACCTAAATTTTCATTATCAGATTTCATCCTATTACCAAATCATTTTACATTACAAGAACAAACATTTTTATCAACTCATTCTTTAAAAAAATTAAAAAGAATTTTTGGTAAAGACACGATATATCAACCTTCACATTTTGATCATATTATTCATAATTATAGAGAATGTCAAGTAACTAGTTGGACTAGTGGTGATAATGAAATTGAACGAGAAATTAATAATTTATTAATTCAAAAAGTTTATAACTTATTTCCTAAAGAGATTAATTGGTTACCTATACATATTTTAGAATTGGCTGAATCGATTGGTGGGATCAAATCTCATGTTGATAATGTTGAGGTAATTCAAATTTGTTATTTTATTCTTTTGTCTTTGATAAATTGTTTGTTCTTAACAAATATTTTTAAAAAGTATTCCGGCAATATTGTGGCAGGAATTTGTTTAATTTCTCCCACCGTAATGATATTAAGACATGTAAATAATCCTGAATGCAGATTTTCTGTTTTGTTAGAACCTGGTAGTCTTTACATTCAAAGGTAATTTAATCATGTAACATCTTAAAATCATTTGATCTTTTCACATTATGTTATTTTTTTTATATATATAGAGATACCATTAGATATAATTTCACCCATGAAATTCCTATTGATCCCGAACAACACAAATTTAAAAATAATTTAATACCAAAAGGACAAAGAATTTCTCTAATGTTTAGGGTATGTAATAAATGATTATGGTTCTCAATTTCAATTTTATTTATTTTTATTAATATTTATTTTACTGATAAGAATGTCAAATAATCAAAATTTATTTACATTTCTTATCCATTTCGATATTTTTTTGAAAAAAAAATGTACAAAACAATAAATAAATAATAAATAAACTAATATAAATATATAAATATATATCTTTCTATTCTACATAAATAAAAGTACAAAATTCAAAGGCAAAACAAGTTAGAAAATAATATGAGCAAATATATATATATATATAGGATTTGTCCATATTAAAATTTTTTGAGAGTGGAGAAAGTATGTAGTAAAGTAGGAAAGGAAACTAAATAAATGTTCTCAAGTTACAAAGCATTCATCCGGATATTGCCAATTCCGTAATTAATTTCGTGCATACATCAAAAAATGGATACATCGATGTAACTTCTTTTCCATTGGTCCTTTGTTGATGAAGCATTTTTACAGTTGTGGTAGAAATTGGAGGTGTGGAAAATTTGTTATTAGTTTCAAATTTGTGTGAATAATGACTGTCTTGTTGATTGGATGATAATGATGATGAAGCATCTGATTCTGATGTAAGAGGTGAAGGTGAAGGTGATGAAAACGACGATGATGTAGAATCGGTACTAGTAGATAACTCATATCCAACATTTTTAAAATCAACAAGATAGTTATTAGTATCAAGTCTATAAAGTTGTAAATCTATCTTGACCTGATAGTTTAAAAAAAAATAGGTAAAATTAGAAACTTGATAATTATTATTATTTTCATTATTGCTATTTGAAATAAATATTTACACTTGCTCGTAAACCGCTAGAATAATTATATTTACACCGAACATGGAAAGGATCAATCGTCTTCCATTCCTATTAACAACAAATTGTAAATAAATTTCTCATTCATAAAGAATTATACTGGTTGCAGAAATATTGATATATTACCATTCCTAAATTTTTTAGGGCACGATAAATCTCAAGCATGACTTCTAACGGAGGACTTCGCGAACGAATTCCAAAGTGCCATTTCGATCTGGATTTCTTTCTTAAAGTCGGTGTTTTTGGCATTTTATCACAATTACCATTACCTGCTACATAAATTAAACCATTTTTAAATATAATTCTCAAATTTTTTTTTTCATCAGGAAAAGGGAAAGTTATATATGATTTATTTTTATTTACCTCTGAAATATGCTTCATTAGGAGGCAGACTAGAATTTAATACTGTGATACTTGAAGGAGCGTCACCAACTTCCTCACTCATCCGTTCTTTTTCCTTTGTATTCTTTTTTTTTAAAAAAAAAAAATTATTGATATACTAACGATGATGTATAGTAATAAAATATAAGATGAAATTTACCTGAGGTGAAATCCATGAAGGAGGCGACGTTGATAGAAAACTTTGGAAACTTTTCTGTCCGGATATTCTTCCAGCACAAATCATACGCTTATGATCCACCACAAGTTGGTATGCCACTTTGATTTGATTGTTTTCGGACTCTTGTAATGCCTGATATATAGTATTCCTACTAAAACCCATTTTCTAATTCAAATATAAAATCGTCAATCATATATTCTCTAAATGAAAAAATCACCTCACAGAAAAGTATATAAATGAAACCTTATGAAGTTCTGTCACAATATTATTATCTATTTCAGCAAATGGATCCTCTTCACTTTCAGGAAGGGGTTTAAGATAATCAGGTAACCCAATATTAAACCATGGATTTTGTCTAAATGAGAAATAAAATATATTAATTAATAAATCAGATGTAAGATTAAGTACAAATTATAACTTTTAACTACCTGATATCATGAATAGTTATTCTTTTTATGGGATCCACGACGAGCATCGAAGACAAAAGATATTTTGCCTCGGGTGATAAAAATGAAGGAAGCGTATAAATACCACCTAATTAATATGCCGAAATAATTTATGTTATAATTTAAAACCGTTCTTCCAGAAATCCTTGAGACAAAAGAAATTAACATACCGTTAATTTTTTTGAATAATGTTGGAATATATTCATCGTCAAATGGCAGACGCCCGCAAAGCATAACATACAAAATGACACCGCAGCTCCACACATCAACTTCGGGTCCTGCATACAACCTTCCAGAAATGACTTCTGGTGCCGCGTAATTTGGACTCCCGCAGCTCGTTTTCAAAAATTCTCCATCGGTCATTATATTTGACAATCCAAAATCCGCGATTTTTACATTTTGATAAGGATCCAAAAGAAGACTTTTTCGAGATATCAAAAAATTAGCTCGTGTTTAAAAGCATTTTTTTTTTTTTTACAAAGGCTTTTAAATTTTATAAAATATTACTTTTCAGGTTTTAAATCTCGGTGTGCAACTTTGTGTCGATGACAATATTCAACAGCACAAATAATTTGCTGAAAGAATCTTCGAGAATCATCTTCCGACATCTAGAAATAAAAAAGTCCAATTCAGTAAAAATTGAGAATTATAAGATTAAATATAATTTCGTTGAAAAAATTACCTTGCCTTTTTCAACAATAAAATTGAATAACTCGCCTCCGGCATATTCCATTACCATAATAATGTCGGTTGGTGTTGTAATAACTTCATATCTGAAATCAAATAATTAATTGATTTATCAAACAATTAACAATAAACCAACAACTATCTGGCACATCATATATAAATTATTTACAATTTTATTATATGAGGGTGTCGGAGTAACTTAAGGTACTGAATTTCGCGTTTCACCCTTCCAACCATGTCCAAATTTGCAATTTTTTTCCTATTGATAAATTTCATGGCTACCTTATGACCAGTTATGGAGTGAACGGCCACTAGATTCGGAAAATATATCAGATCAAAAATTAAAAGATCGAAAAGCTTTCGTTAGATGTAAACGAATAAAAAATAAATTACTTTTAACTTTGCCAAAGGAGCCCACTCCAAGGGTTTGTAATACATTATATTGACCAATTCTAATCTTATTAGAAGCCATTAATACAAAAAATTTAAGTCGACACTTAAATTATGTTATAAAGCGCGAAATAAGGTTAAAAACGCCCAACGTAATATTATTACCTTATTTGTTACAATTAACATGTGATAACCAAAAATATTTTCAATTGTTTATTTTCGCATTATTCTTTTCTAACTTGTCTAAAATGTCTTTTCGGTTCAATTTTTCGGTACTTTCTTTTATTGTTCGTTTTAATAACTTTATCCGGGCCTTACCTATAATATGCCTTATTTCACCAAATTGATAGTCAGAAGGACATGAGCTTCCAAAAAATGAGGAATCAACGATTCAAGGTTTCTTGGACGATAATTTAAACGAGTCCTTAAGGATCGATAAACATCCTGGGTTTAAACCATCTATTCCTCCTAACGAATTAATTCTTAATAATCTGGTAAATAACTGAAAGATAAAAAAGTTATAAGTATATTACCTTTTTTTTTTTAAAAAAAAAAAAAAAAAAAAAAAATAACATAATTATTCTTTTAAATTAGAGCGATATACTTCCTCCAAATTTGATAGTTGAACGCATTTTCTTTTCTACCTACGAACAATCCATTCTTTATAAAAGACATCTTTCTGATGTCAAGTTTCAGATAGCACAAGAAGATGAATTACTAGAAACAAGTGAGAATGAAAATACCAAGATTTTGATATTATCAACAGATAATGATGTAGTTCAAGGAGTTTATGAAGGTATTCAAATATTATTTGAAAGATTAAATTAGAATTTAATTACTGAATCATGAAATTTTTTAAATTGTTAGGCGGGTTAAAAACTTGGGAGGGTGCATTCGACCTTCTTGAATTTCTTGCCAAAAATACAAATAATTTTGAATTTGAAGGAAAGAAAATTTTAGAGGTTTGGAACATTGATCTTTGTTCATTTCATATTAAAAAAAAAATAATAATATGAATCTAACCCACTGTATAATTGGTAAGCTTGGCTGTGGATCTTCGCTCCCAGGCATATATATACTTACTACCAAAAGTCCACTTAGAGTAGATTTCCAGGATTACAATGAACAAGTGATAAAATTAGTGACAATTCCAAATATCTTGCTCAATACTTTATTATGTCCAAACAACGAACAAGAGTTTTCTAATGGTACTGCAGAGATATACGTTTCGGAAGATGCCAATCTATTAGATCAATTGAAGAAAAGTAGGTTCTTCATAGGAGACTGGAGTGGGCTGACCGTAAGGATTTATTATCATTGTTATGATTTGGAATTTTTTTTTTTTTGGTAGAAATATTAAATGAAAGTTTATTCGTTTAGGATATTATGAATTTGAAATCTGAACAAGAAAAATATGATCTGATCTTAACTTCAGAAACAATATACAATGCAGATTCAATACCAAAACTATATGATGTAATCAAGCACTCACTAAGGCGACCGAGTGGCATAGCGTATCCTTTTTGTGTAAAATTATTATTATTATTATTATTATTTTTTAGACAATTATTTTATATAATATTTCTTAGTGTACGTAAAAACAGATTAATCGCGGCAAAATCAATTTATTTTGGTGTTGGTGGCGGAGTATTTCCATTTCGTCAATTTGTTGAACAGGATAAAGTATTTGAAATCAAGATCGTTTACACTGTTGAAGCACACGTAAAAAGAGAGATTCTAATGTTAACTTTTTTGGATTCTTTTTCAAGTAAAAATACGTAAAACATAATAAAGTACGCGTAAAAGATTCGATAACTTGACATTTTGATGAATAATTTTATTACGTGTAAAAAAACAAAAAAGAAAAATTTGCGCTCGTCCGAAAATTTTTGTGTATCGGAACTACAAATACTTAAACGTTACAAAGTTATTCCCTATTTCCACCCGCTTTAATATATAACCACTTATGAAGAAAGAAAGACATGAAGAAAAGTGTCATCTTATAGACATCATCTCATTCATCATCTCATACATAAGAGGGAGTGTAAACACTAAAAAAATAGACAAATGGAATCTGCACTTATTTATATTGAAATATGAAATTGTGGGATTTAAAAGATAATGCTGATCATATCCTATTTAGGATATTGATCGTACAAAGTTTTACATTTATATATAATGACCATTTATTAGGGTGTCCAGAAATGTGGTGGTAAATCTCAAAATATGTATGTGCTAATAAATAAAATATGCGATAATATGTGTTCATAATTCTGGTAAA